AGCAATAAAACCAGAAAGGGCAAACATTGCTCGGGGATATCTCGGACAGGTGCACATCTCAGAATGTCGCGCGTTCCGCGTCTGGATTACAAAGCTGCCGCAAGATAATGGGACTGTAAGTCGCGTTTGTGTGTGTGTGTGTTATGTGTGTGTATGTCACGCGAGACGCGCAAACCGCCAGCATGCTGTGATGCGACGAGACGCCGTGCGATGTTTGTCGACCGAACGAACTTTGCTCGACGCCTTTGGCAGCGCATCTCTCTCTCTCTCTCTCTCTCTCTCTCTCTCTCTCTCTCTCTCTCTCTCTCTCTCTCTCTCTCTCTCTCTCTCGAACGCAAACGTTTCCCTTTAGCGATATCTCGAGACTTTCGGCCCGTCTTGCAAATTATCCCAATTAGCAATGCGAAAAATCTGAATTGAAATTATACTCGATTTTTGATCGCGAGAGTCTTCGAGGCACGCGATACATCGGATAAAATTCCTTTTCTATCGAGAATAATGTCCCTCTAGATCGCCATCGTCCCGCGATGCGACGCGATATTTGTCGACCACGAGCAAACTTTGCCCGGCGAGTACTGAACGAGTTTGATAGAACGTCGCTAACGTAAACGCTCCTTCCAATGATATCCTTAAATCTTTTCAGGTTATCTTGCAAACCGCTGCAATTAGTAGCGCAAATAATCCGTAGAAATTTTCTTAGCACTTTCAATTATACACTTGCGAGAGCCCCCGAGGCGTGCGATATATCGGGTGGAAATTCCCGTTTTATCGCGAATACGTTTAATAATATTTTCTCTTTCCATCGCGAATACGTCGGACGATATCCTTCTGACAGGAACTTTTCGTGACAGGACGCGACGTTTGTCGACTCAACGAACTTTGCCCAACGAAGGCTCGACATGTTTGACAGAACCTCGCTGATGTATAAATGCCGCTTTCGACAACATCTTTCTAAAATTTTCAGACCATTTTGCACAATGCGTCAATCAGTAGCGCGAGCGATGAGTAGAAATTCCCGATGCATCTCTAATTGTGCCTTCGCAGGGATCGTTAAGGAGCGCGCTACGTCGAATATATAAAATCTCCTTCCCATCGCAAATATTCTCTTTCCATTGCAAATGCGTGGGTTACCATTACCAATTTTCCATGACATGACTCGACATTTGCCGACTGAAGAAATTTCGCTTGACAAATGCGTTTGACGCATCTCTAACGTAAAAGTTTCCTTCTCGGCGACATCCTGAGGCTCATTAGCTCATTTTGCAAATTGTTCCAATTAGTAGCGCGAATACTCTGCGGAAACTTCCGATGTATTATACTTTTAATTTTAGATTTGCAGGTACCCTCGGGGCGCGTGATACGATTGGATAATATCCTTCATTTCTCACTACCATTCCGTGATGCGACGCGACACTTGTCGCGAACGACTGCGGACGAACTTCGCTCGACAAGTTTGATAGGATATCTCTAACGTAAACGCTTCTCCTAATGATATCTTCAAACTTTTTAAACCTTTGCACATTGCAGCAATTAGTGGCGTTAATAATTAATAATCCCCCCCCCTCGATGTACTTTAATTATAAATTTGCATCGAGACGCGCGTGATACTCCGGATAATATTCTTCTTCTCTCTCGACCGTTCTTCGATGCGATGCCATGTTTATTGTTGATTGCGAACGAACTTCTTTCTATTCTCAATTGTGCGCCTCTAACGTTCTCATCTCGAAACTAACATCTCTAAACTCTAAACTCGCTCTTGCCGGCGATATTCCGAAACTCTTCAGAGAGAGGGAGAGAGAGCACCGTGCAAACTGTTCCAATTAGTATCGCGAATAATCCGCAGAAACTCCCGATGTACTTTTAATTGCGCATCAGCAGGGATCCTCGGGGCGCGCGATACGTCGGATAAATATCCTCTTTCTATCGCGGGTGAGTAAGAGCTCGTGACTTTTTGCCCCTGCAAACTTCTGCGGCTAAGTTACCTGTCCGGCACAGCGAAAGACAGGAGGGCGCGAGTGGCAAACAATACCGATCGCAGCACACTGTACCGAAACCGAAGCCGGCACGATCCGTATCGCGACATGAGAGGTCCATTAGTGTCGGAAGGACAAAGGGATCGGGGAAAGACAAACAGCGGAGGAAATCAAGTGTCTGAAAATGTGTCGCCGACACTTTCTCGCACGCGGACGCGACGCATGCGCGCGCGCGCGCGCGCGTGCGGTCTTTATACGGCAGAGCCTGTGTTTTTGCCCGTGTAATTAAACGCCAGGACGCGGTACAGTGGAAGAAGCGACAAAGGCGAAAGCAACTCAGCCCGAAAGATGATTTGTCCGTCGGCCGACACAATGGCAGTTACACGCTGGATATTCGTTTACTCGCGGGGACTGCGATGTAAACTTGGGACGATTTCTTTAACCCTTTGAGGCATAGTGGTAAGTATACTTACTACCTATTTATTCCTATTTTCACCTATTCTCACATTTTCATGAAATATTTCATATTTGAGGGATTCTCGCGTCTCAGGTCTTTTGCGTTTTTTAACTTCTTATATGATATGGGAACATACATGAAAGGTTGAAAAGTGTTTTGCATAAGTTGTCCATTTATTATAAATAAACAAAGTGTGAAAAATACACATTTTTACAGAAAAAAATAATTTTCCACGAACTATGTGTGAATTTTTTGCTCAAAATCAAGATTTGGGGGTTTTCTGGGTCGCTGATTACGAATCTGAGGTCCAAATTCTAAAATTAATTTCCCAAGACGGCGGATTCAAGATGGCGGATCATAGAATTTTTGTTAAATTAGTTAAAATTGTACTTTGGTTAGTTTTTGAGATCGTTGATTACGAATCTGAGGTCCACATTCTAAAATCCATTTTACAAAATGGCGGATTCCAAATTATCTGGATTTTTCATATTTGTGACCGCCATCTTGAATCCGCCATCTTGAATTTTGAAAATCTGATAACGGATTCGTAATCAGAGACTCCAAAAACCCCACAATACCCATTGTCACCGAAATTATTGCGATTTTTCATTTTTACGCCCGCCATCGTGGATCCGCTATCTTGAATTTCAAAAATCTAATAACGGATTCGTCATCAGCGACCCCAGAAACCCCCGTATATAAATTTTCATTTCATTCGGATTTTCTGAAAAATATGTGCCTCAAAGGGTTAAGGGAGAATTATCAATTCGCGCATGCGCAATTACCGCGGCAAGGTCGCTTTTGCTCATTGATGTAAAAGTACCTGAACCGAGCATTCTATTAATACGAAAAAGGTCTAATTAGCGGTAAGGGAAAGTTACGGCATATTTTGGGCATATTTGGGTTTTACCATCGCAATTCCTTCGGTTGTTCGGTTTCATAGCACTTGGAACTGTGACGTTTATAAGCAACTGAAGCGACATCTTTGAAAGAATTTGCTGTGTCAATTCATTGTAAGTTGTCAATATGTTGCGAAGTAAATGCCCTAATTAGTGACAGTGTTTTAATTTGTGATAATTGTTTTTTCTCATTTACTAAATTTTTAGATGTATACAAAAGTTTTAGTTTCTTTCTTCAGTTCTCTAGTGTAATTATTTTAAATTGAAATATTTTCCCACCGTCTTCGACAAAATCAATATTTGCATTGTGGGACACAATATTTTCCCCAAGAACAAATAAATTCACATGCTTTCGTATTATTATTTTCTTGCTGGAATTTATATCAAATGCAATGCCGAATAGAAGGTTTTTATTGCTCATTGTATCAACTTTTGAAGTGTACCTATTTTGTGCAACTATTTTGAAGTGCACCAATGAATTATAATATGAATAGCGTTTTAAAAAGTTCAATACCAATATTATAAAAACACAAAACCATGGGAAAATATTTCAATTTAAAATAATTATATTAGAAGGCTGAAAAAACATGAAAATTTTTGCATTTATTTTTGTATTTATTCTAAACATGTGTTCTTACTTTGTATCTTATATATTGTCGGTTATAATAAATTTAGAATAAAATTAAAAAATTTCAATAAATATACTGGAAACGTCATAATTCTAAACTGACGGTGACAGTCCGAAACATTCATTCGCCGATATTTTAAAAGTTGATACTAAATGTTAGGTTAATTAATACTAAATGTCTGTTTGTCAGATCTGTGCAGTTAACTTCATCAAGATTAAACCATCAGTGGAAAAACGAACGTAAGCTGCAATGTCATTAAACGGTACTTCAGTCATCCGAGAAAATATCAATCAATCAAAATCTTTCAACTTTGTATATATATATAGTTCAACATATGTATTATTAATTTATTAATTCACTTTTACAATAAGTTTTTTACTTTTACTTGCTTACTAATTGAAATATTCACCTCAAGATGATCGGTCGCAAAGTAGTTTGCATATTTTTTATCGAATGAAAGAAGCTGTACACGCACGGTATAATCGATTATAACACGAGCAAAAGTAATAACAATATACCTACGTGACATCCAACGTTACAACAGTAATAGATTATTAAAAAAAAAATAAACGTTATGGTACTTTTATTCTTATCTATCGCATGCATATCAGCAGCTCTTCATAGTGCCAGTTTAAAGCGCTGCAATATCGCTCGATAAAAATGGGCAAATCGTTTTACGATCGAGAACGTATAAGTAAGTTAAGTAAATAAGCCGAATAGTGGCGAACAGAACCTCCTATAACCCGAGATACCATAACTTTTCTCTTATCGCAAATTTGCACCCTTTGGTTGCCCAAATTAATAGTACATACTTCGTCCAGATATTCCCATGTCGATCGTTTTGCTGAATTAATCGATAACTAATTTCACAATTATCTCATAATCCGCTGTTCAGCCGGAACGCGCGCCGACTGGCAGTTTAATCGAGTTCTCCTCATGAAAAACGTAAATCGCAATGCGCGGTAGTATTTTATCGCGCAAAAAGGAAAAAAATGCTTGCCCTCCTGTGAGAACAAGGTATAAAGAGACGATGGACACTTACCTTTAAGAGCCGCCGAGAGAGCGTGTAACTTCCCCACCACCACAGCGAGTTGCGTCTTGTACTTTATGGACTCAGCCTCGGTTTGCTCGCTGAGCGCGCGTTGCAGCTTCCTTTGCGTTTCCTGCTCTTTGACCGAAAGTGCCTCTCGAAGATGATCGGAGTGTATCTCCGACTGCAATTTCAGCTCCCGCCGCAACTCCTGGTCGAACTTCTTCTGCTCTGCCAGCAGCTGAAACACGAAGACGGCCGCCGCTCGTAACACGACTACGAAGAAGCATATTCTCGGCTTCGTTTCTCTTCTTTAAGAGGAAAATAAATTTACGAAATATATCCCAAATCTTCCGAGAACAGACGGCCGGAGTTTGAGGCATTTCCTCGGCGGGAATCAGAGGTGTGCGAACGATCCGCATTCGATTCGAATATGCATTTGTACTGTTCGAATTCGACTATTTCGAAAGTTCCGAATTCGAAGAGGAAATTTGAATACAAATCTCGCACATTGGCAATTTTGGAAAAAGTCGAGCACTTAATTTCTGCTTTAATTGATTCCTTTTAAGACTCGGAATTTCTTTCGGCAAAGAAGGAGAACCAGCCTCGATCGCCGCCTGAAGCTGCGAGAAATATTTTCTGGAACTCTCGAGAGAAATCAATTAACATAGAGTTAAATAATCAGGAAGAGATAGTGGAGTTCTTTATATATTGCTAATTGAAATTCAGGATAGTTTGACGTGGGAAGTCGATTCACTCCGTACGTTGCAAGTCCGGAAAAACATTCGGCGCGTACACTACCGCATGTTCAAACATTATTATTCCATTATCATCCGGTGTAAAATTATTCGCATTAATATCCAGCGGCTTGCTTCTATAGACCATGTTGCTAATTATGCCGTTAATTAAAACTTAAGTTTCGCCGATCCGATTCGGGGCTGGAATTTCATCGCGGCTCGACGCGGTAAATCCCCGATTCTCGCGCATCTCCAACGAGAATTTAACATGTGTTTCTCTCTCTCTCTCTTTCTCTCCCGCAAATTTCAAAGATCGACGCGCTACAAATTTTGCCGGCCGTGTCTCGTGCGCGAAAAAGAGAAGGAAGGGAGAAAAGAAAAATTAGTCTCCGCGGCAGCTCTCGCGGCTCTTAAATTCCGACGATCGCTGTCGCTGTTCCCAGAATGATAATGTCGTTCAAGGTACAGAGGCTCGAGGCATTAGCCTAATGAGACTTTGATGAATTATCCGCACTTAAAGTATCAACGGGGGGCCGCCCTCATTGGGCAGCGAACCAAGCCTCGAAAGTCTAGCGCTGTCCCGTCCTAACTCGCGTCCTCTATCCCCCGCCTAGCAATCTCTCGATCGTCCTGCTGTAAATCTGCTCTTACCTCCCTCGACCGACGTCGTGTTTCGTATGCGCAACGTCTACGGGCCATCCATGTTTCTCGAACGGCGTCCGCGGACATGAACGGTCCACTATCGCCTGGAACTCTATGTACCGAAAGCCCGTGTCAATAATTAACGCCCGGCTGACCCGACAACCCTGCCAACCCGTTTGAGTCAAGGGTGGAAGTGGGATCTATCGGTATTACGGGGGACGGAAAGGCGGCTGGGGGGCAAGGGAAACGCGAGAGCCTCCTCGATCGTTACCTCTTCCTCCTCCACCTCTACCTTCACCATCCCCTTCGCTGCACCCCAAGTTCGATCCGGCCTATTCGCGAAGATAGTAAACGGGCAAGTAAAGTTCTCCGGGGCGGTTAACGTTGGCTGGCGATGATGGCTGCGAAAGACGTACTTGTCCCCACGTGGCGCGCGGCGGAATCGAGGACGAATGGAAATGAGCCGCGATCTCCGAGTAGCCATTCTTCACGTCGCTATCGCCGATCGCGATGTTAAATAAAGACGTCGTCCTGTCGGTTTCCTAACAACGAGTCTCGAGATGGCGTTTCTGTCCTCTCAAATTTGCTTTTAATCCTCGCAAAGACAAGTTTCAGGCTGACGCAGAAGATTGATCGCTTCTCTACCCGATTTTCTCATAGGAAATTTAGATATGAGAAAAGGGATGGAAAGTCCTCGCTAGATGTCTGACAGAATAGCGAATCAAGATGTCCGTTTTATTTTATTATTGAATTTTCCATGTCGGGTAAAATTTCGTTCTCTGCTTCGTCTGACAAACATGACGAACATTTTGCGCAAACTTAAGAGATATGCCGCGTCGACGTTCGAAAGACAGCAGACGAGATTTGGTCTTTCTCACGTTCGAAACCTCGAAATTTTACCGAGAGCAAGTTCTTGCCGCGTATAGAAAGGTCCTAATGGAATTAATTGATGTGAAATTAGAATTTTATATGTGACAAAGTAATGTGCAAATAACAACAGGTAAGTCGCGTTTTCGTCCGGCTGGAGAACGAAACTAAGCCGCTCCGCGGCACGTCGTTTCGTAATCCGTTTTGAAAAATCCAAAGCATTTCACTACCACCGGTTATATGACGCAATTGCAGCAAGCCGGATTAATTAAACGCGGCAGAAGAAAAACGGCAGCCGCACGCTTATATTCGCGTAAAGTCACGCGAGAATTGTTCCGCAACAATCCCACGATGTTTCTGCTCGGTACCGTCGTTTGCACGTCCGATTACAACGTTAAAGTATGCACCGCCACAGCGCGTTGCAGTTATCATTATCGTATAAATTATTCCGAAAATTTTCCTCCCTCCAGAGTAGACGATTAAGGAGATTGCCTGACAATCCTCATTATGATTACGCTTTAAAGAAAGCAATTTTGTATAATACTAGAATTATTAAAACTAGAATTACTAAAACGGTCAAACGAGTAATTGTTTTTTTAGTAAAAATTACTGGAACTTATGTAACAAAGCACTTAATATTTTTAATAAACGTGGAATAAAACTACAAACAAATGGATAAATGTTTTTACTCGTGAGTATCTATTTTTTTTTCAAAAACTTGTCATTTCAATCTCTCCAGTGGAAATAATGTGAATATTTCAATTTTGTGACAATTGCACCTGTTTTATCAGCCAAATAAAACAGCTGATACAAATCCATATTCCTGTTAAATGTGTGTGTTCTCTCTTTAAATTTTACATATTATCGGTTCTAACAAATTCCGAATAAAATTAGAAGTCACAGTAAATAGTGATAATTAATGATCATAATTATTGACGGTGATAATTCAATCAATTACTCGTCGACATCTTAGAAGTTGGTAATCAATACTAAATGTCTGGTATCTATGCGGTTCTTCTCTAACTTCCTCAAAACTGAAACTGTCAATGGAGGAACAAATTTAAATCCGTCAATAGAGCAAATAGTGCTTCAATTATATATATTGGAGAAAATATAAATAAATTAAAATCTCTGCACAAATTAGAAAAGTGTAACACCAAGTGCCTAAGCTTTCCGACCACGTCAACTTTATGTACTTATGCACTTGGCTTAATATTTATTAACACACTTAACATTTTTTAATACACCTTAAGTCGCACTAGCCGTCGATTATTCCATTAAAACTACCGATGATCTTCCAATCTTCAACTTTAGCAGGGCACAGTTATCCATTCCGCCCCTCTTCGCGCGTACTTTATTTCTCTCAGGCCCGTTCTCTCGCTCCCGAATGCTGACGAAAACGAATTCCGCTCGGTTCTCGCGTTTATCTCGCGCGGACGGATTCGCCGAAGAAATCGGGCCGGTTTTTCTCGGCGCGCATCTAATTTAATGACGACAATTTGTACGGCAATCTACCCGGGGATCGCGCTCGGTCGACGTGTACGCCGGCGGATCCTCCGAAAGAAAGGAAAACGGATTTCGAGCTATTAACACGCGCGCGCAGGTTGCGCCTCGGTGACTTCGTCGAGCGATCGAAAGTTTACGATGGAAAAACTTGGTGCTTTTTGGCAAATGTCGCCGACAAAACGTTCGCGTCTGCTGCCGTTGAACGGCGCGCCACAAGTCCATTTGATGCGGCTGAAAAAATCAGCGTCGATCTCCTCCTCTTTTATTCCACGAAATCGGAATCGATTCGTCCGCGATGAGAAGCGAAACGGCCGGGAACGAAACGGGAGGGAACCGCCGTAGGAATTCGGACGTATCGTAAATTTCGATATAATTCCGGCGAAAAAAGGCAGGATCTGATGATATTCGCGACTCTCCTCTCGAGATCTTTCCGTAAAATTCTTCGCGACTGAGGGAGGATCTTCATTCTCGTCATCTACCTTCCACGTCCTCGTTTTGCGTTGATGGCAAGTATAATACGTACAAGAAAGGGGCTTGGATGGAATTTAAGATTATCAGATCGCGAAAATCGCGTATTTTCTTCTTACGGACTAGATCGGGTTTTACGACAATGAGCCCGCCAACTTCTCTCGACGTTCCAATCAAGATATTTTTCCTAGTCTTAGCATGCGCTTTACAACGAGTTATCCCAGTCGATTTGTCCGCAACTAAATCAAGAGGCAGCGGCGATTTTTGAGTTATAATAATTTTCCAATCGAAAACCAATAGTTGCTCCTTTGTCGAAAAGAAAAAGAAGAAAACGAAAGACTCCACTGAATTTCTGAGACGCGAATGGGACGGAGGAAAAAATCCTATTGTTCGAATTCGATTGGATCTTACTTCTGCCCGGAATTTCAATTTAAGATTTAATCACCGGGATATTTAATGTCGGATCGGAGGATGCTCCGATAAACGATACTCCGCGCCGCTCGCGAAACTTTTTCTCCGAGAGCGAGAGCCGTCAAAAGAAATTTGTCGTTGAAATAAAAAGGTCAAAGGTTTCCCCGTATGCCTCTTATATCCGGCCGTTAGAAAGCTATTAAAAATTCGGACCACTCGTGACTTCGTCTTTAAATTATTCCGGAATCTCGGCGCAGGGAGAAGATACGTATCTGCGATTCATGGAGATAAAGCGCGGTGCCGAGGAAAATCGATCTCCGGGCTCGGAGAAAAAGAGAAAGAGAGAGAGAGAGAGAGGGGGCGGGGGAACTCGTGGAAAAAAAAACTGGCGCTACGCGATCGGACGGACCACGTGCGATTACGTTGGCGCGTTCATGTGGGAATTCTTCGATTTACAAGACGCCCACAAGGAGAAACACCAAGCTCAACGCGTCAGCCGTGCGGCTGCTTAATCGCTCTATATACACGCCGTGTGATTTCTTCCATTCCAGCGGCAGAGGCTGCCGTCGTAAAGGCAGATATACGATCATCGTCGCGTCGTACACGTGCCGTTAAAGGCTCGTCCGAGTGTCCGGAAAAATACGCGCCAGCCGCCGCACTTCGCGCCTCCGTCGTGATACGACAGGCACGACTGGATACCCGCGTATTAAAGTTGGAAGCAGCACTGAAGAGAATCGAAAGAGGCGCTATTCTATCAAAGCGAGCGGTCTTACCCACAGCCTGAAATCGGCTATGTACTTTAACCCTTTGAATCCGGGCGTATCCTTAGTAGTGTAGAACCTCCGAGATTAACGCGACCTATTTCTACTGGAGCGGTTGAAATGACAGTTTTTTTTTTTTTTTTAAATGTACCTTTCATGTGAGGGCAAAAGTGTCTGCATCTTCCTTTTTACTTTCATTCAACGTCCATTAAAAATATCACAGCCCATCGTTGCATAAGTCTGAGTAATTTTTGTGAAAAGTTATAAACCGGTCATCTTGGCAGCTCTTGTCGCTTGATAATTCTAATGCCAAGAATATGCGGCGTATAATATCTTGAAAATGAAAGACCTATCGATTTTGTCTACTTATGATTAACAGAGTGCTCTCGAAGTTATCTCTGACCATCTACAAAAGCATTTCCATTTTCCTCGTCAAATTCCTATTTTCTTATAATAAAATCTAATTTCCCCCTACAATGAAAATAGTTTTTAATAAATCAAACTTTTGAGACACCATTTACATCTATCTGCGTGTGACATCTCTCTGCAAAAATAATTTCCAAAAAAAAAAAAAAAGAAAGAAAGAAAAAATCCCAGGACTCGAAAGATTAACTCGAAACGCAGGATCTATAGCGAAAAACGTGGAAACTGCGCAAAGTTAGTTTAAATGCAAAATATATGATTGGTTTTAACTTTAATTTTCCGGTCAAACTTTCATTAAATACCGTAGGTCGCGTGATTGCACAACAGCTGTGCGTTTTCGCGCGGGGCCGGAGGAAAGGGTCATGTTTCATAAAATTATCGGCGATATTTTCGGCGAGTAAAACGCAGCGAGATGTGCTTTAAAAAACTATATGGAAAATGGATCGGGCGAGTTTCGGGCGGGCGAGCTTTTTGTTTCTGCCAGACGGCGGTGGTGGATAAGCTTCGCTCGCCCGCCAGCGCTTCGTTCGTTCGCGCTCTCTCCCCCCCCCCCCTCTCTCTCTCTCTCTCGCTTTTGCGCGCGTGGGGGCGGACGAGTAAAACAAATCGTTGCAAAAAGTTTCATCGATAATTTACGTTTGTCCTGGTAAATAACTTCTAGGTGTACCGCTATAAAGATATCCTGCAGCCAGGCCACGCTAAAATCCTAACCGTGCGACGGCGGATAAGGAACTTTGAATTTTTCAAGCTCTCTATAATCGTGAGACAGTGTATTCTTGTTGTTTTTACAGCTCTTCCGAGATTTCCTCGAGAAGCATCACTTTATTCCTCTTAAAGGAATGCCAAGAGCAGCGGAACATTCGCGGGAAGGGCTCGACAGAGACAGCTCGGCCGGTGAGAGATGATATTCGTTTGTCGTCGAATTTTTCATGAATAAAAATCTCCAGTCTATTTGTCTCGATATGATATAACTATAAAAATTATATAAACACGACACCGTTTACGTGAGATTTCGGACGGAAGGAAACGTTGACTCTATATATGGGCTTTCAGATAGTTGTATCATCTTCTAAAGAATAAAGCCCGCCATTTCCTCGCCAAGTATCTCATCGTGAGATGCACACTTTCATTTCACTCATAATAGGATATTCTCCGAGGTGGCTATTAACACAAGACCCCTCTCGGATTAAAGAAAAATAAACTTCTTTGGGACTCGCGCTCGTGAGAAAGTTCACTCATGCCTGCCGCTTCGTTTCTCGGATGATTTGCAGAGCGACTTTGCCTCGATTCCCGTCGACGTCGAGGAAAAACATTTGGAGAAGACCGAGTCGTCGACGACGAAAACGAAGCGAGACTATCTTAATTAAATGACACGAGTGAGCCAGAGAAAGAGAGAGGCTCTCCCTCGCTGCTAGACTCAATCGCGCTGTAAAGTTCGCGACTCGTTCATCGAGCGCTTATACGTCAGGGCGACGTGACACACTTTTCGACGCGTTTACCCCGAACAGTTTGCATCGACTCGCGAAACGATCGACCGTTTGTTAGCGCCAACTTATGGATGCGTGTTACTAATTGTGCAATGATTTATCATTAATTAATTCCACTCTCATGCGTGTAATTTAATGGATGACGCAGGGATATCGCGATGACGATACATCCGCCGAAGCATTAACGGTGAAATATTCGACCGGACGTTAACGAGCGGTACCGGAAGCTCGTAGACAAATAGCAATTAGAGGACACCGTTGTTCCTGTCCGAAACGAGAACAAAAGGTCGGGCGTGCGGCGGAATCGATCGGACAAGATTTATATTCGGCAGCGGTGCGACAGAGGCAAAAAGAGAGGGAAGGAGGGAGAGAGAGAAAGAGAGTGAGGGGGAGAATGAGAAAGAAAGAAGAGGCGGGTGAATAAAGAAGGGAGGCGGAAAAGGGTATTGGACAACTATGAGAACAGTAAGTCATAATGGTTCCTCAGCGGATACCTCGCGGCAGCATACGGACATGACTATAGCAGCGCGGTCTACTCTAAAGGAATAATATCGGCCGTCGTCGTTGGCGAAATATTGGCGTCCGGCCAAATGGAAATAAATAAAAAAAAAAAATCGACGGGGGCTGCATCGACAGTGCTGCGACACCGCATACGAATGCATCACATATGTGACGTTACACGCGCGCGAGCGCATATTAATTTAAATTCGTCATATATAGAATAAACATGATGCGCTCTTATACAAGCGGCGCAGTCTCTTTGTACGTGTGTGTGTGTGTGTGTGTGTGTATCTGTATGTAGCTTAGTTTAGATTTCGACTCGGATGCCATTTAATTCGCAGAAGGTCGCTCTCGCGCTGAGAGGAAAGATTATTTGAGGAGAATGAGAATCGTTCATAGAAAGAGAAGCGAAGAGGAGGGATGCGTTTTTTACCGGCGGAATTTTATAAAGTGTATTTGTTTCTTTACGAAGCGGCGCTTGAATATCACTTTACGCGCGACCCATTCGGCGCGAGAGGTTTTAAAAAGCACTAAAGAGCAATGTAAGCAACCATGACTCGAGTGACCCGTTGTTACTTTCTTTTTCTGCAATTTCTCGACGCTTTTTAACGAAGGTCCGTTTTATCTCACCGTGATCTCTCTATTCTTTCACTTTTACGATTTTCAAGCAACCCTCTTCTCTCTTCTTCCCGCCCTGGTCTTCCGTCACCGCCGGGTGCAAACAGCTCTCTTAAAACCGTCTCCGTCATTTTTTCGCCGCAAAATACCGTTTTCCCCCCAGGAATCTCAGATGTTTCTCGCCCCCGCCGCAATTGTCGTCGCAGAACGAACGAGCAAACAAACGAACGATCAAACAATAAAAAAAAAGAAAGGAGGATTTCGCGCTATCTTCCTTTAATTCGGGCGGCTACGAACGCGACGCAATGACAGAGCTGGATTTCACGACGCATGAATGCGCGACTCGTGCCGGACTCCACTCGTATAAACACTAGAGCAACATTAATAATGCCGCTAAAGCTCGCGTCCATCCGTATTCGCTCGATACGTCGGGAGAAAGGGACAAAAAAGGATAGGCGCATAAAAGCACGCAGATACCGGCCGACGTATGATTCACGCGCGCTTTGAAGCTATCTGAATCGTATACGAGTGGAGTGGAAAGGCTTTTCTTCCTTTCTTCATCGCACCCGTATTGTGCGCGTACATTATAAACGAATTAGCGTTTATAATGTACAATAAAATAACACATCCTATTATGGCCGCAAATGAAAACGGATTTAATAATCGTGAGAGACAAAAAATCATGTCCACGATTTAAATTTCAGGCGCAAAATGTATGGAAAAGGAAAATAACATCCTACCATTTTCTCCTGTTCTTCTTGAAGGATGAGCTTCTCTTCGTTCACCGCGAGAGAAACCAGCGCTTCCAATTGTTCCTCACTCGCATTCTCGCCCGACGCTCTTAGTGCCGATTTTATTTTGGTTTCACTGATTGTCTGCAAGAGAATACTGTTTAATTATGAGGACACATCGCGTGTCGATGACAATCGTTTTATAGTATACCAGAGGTACAATTTGTACATTATGAGATTCCGGTCGGATAAATCGATAACGCACCCTTAGTTTCTCCAACTCCTGCTGCAGGTTGTTGACTTTGTGATACATATACAGGACGAATATGTCGAACGCTTCCTCGCTGATGGATAGTTTCTTCTCGTGTATATTTAAACTGGGAAATAGGATTTTCAATTCTTCGTTGAAGTTCTCCCGCGCTAACTTAATCTGCTTCCAATAGCGCTCGGTGATATTATTGTTATGTATCTCATCCTTGTACTTCCTCTTGGCCTCGTCCACGTCATCTAGGATCTTCTTAACGTTTCGTCGGGTGGCAGTTTTCATGTGAGCCGGCGCGTCCAACACGGTCTCGTCGATCTTGTTATACATACGCTTGAGCGAATCCAACGCATCTTCCGCATGCCTCTCCATCTCTTGCATCGCCTCTTTCTTCTTCTCCGTTGCCTCTTTTAACCTACACAACCGCCGCAAATCCAATTACATAATCGATACAGAAATGAAGCATGACACGATTGCGTAAGCATAACAAAGATCACCTTTGCCAAACAACTTCGCTTACTGCACTGCTATTACTCTCGATCACTTGGGCGACATCGCGATTGTATTCCCCAATTGCATTCGTTGCCTTGCGGTAGGCCGCAATAGCTTTAGAACCAACTTCGCTGCAAGAAGTTTCTAGCTCAACGAGACTTTGTGAGATCGACTCTTTGGACACATTTTTAGGAGGCGATGTTTTCTCAACCACTATAAAAAAAAACAAATTTAATTATCACAGCATCAGTAACTGCACGCAAAGTGACGTAGAGAACACATACAACATACCGACATCAACTTTCACCTCCTCTGTATTAATACGAGTCTCCTTATTTTGGTCAAGTATTTCCTTATTCTTGACTAATGGCTTAGAAACTAGCGTGGGTGCTATAGTATACACATATGAATAATATTATTAAAGATATTGCAAAATATACAGTTTAGTAATCAACTATGCTCTATTACATCAGATTGTAAGAAATCATAGAAAGGACTTAGGTGCTAAAGGATTAAGTATGAAGATATATATAAGATAGGAGTTATGGATTGGGACTCACGTATGTAATCAGTAAGTTTTATGCTATCTAGTCTTTTCTGACCTGGTTCTGAAGAGCCACTTTTGAAGAGCATGTCCATTATCCTGTAAAAAGATGTTTATATAAAAAAAAATAAATTAGCCATTATGATTAATAATATATAAAATGTATCTTCTTACGTCTGCTTCAATGTCGCAAAAAATATAAATATAAGGTCGAAATAGGTAGCATCTTCTTGAAAGATAATCCGAATAGCTTTGTCTGTACCAGGAATCCATCCTTCAAGAGTAGCACGAGTTTCTGGGTTGTTTTTTGCATACGTTAATATTCCTAAGCTACCTATTGTTACAGCTCCTAGAGTTATCAACGCTTTCGACGCTACTTTGCTCTTCTCACTGTTAAAACACATACATAAAAGTTAATCAGAATTGATTTATTTACAGTAGTCAAAGTTCTTGTTGAGTAATACACAGCCAAAAGATTGTATCATGCAGTAAATAGAGAATAGTAATATATTTGTTCATTATATAACATTCTAAACTTTTTCAGGTTTTTATTTTGACTACCTTCTTGGCGGTGCAGTTGAATACTTAGGTCCAGTAAGTCTGGACATAAGTCTGACATCCTTGCCCAGCCTAAAAAAAAAGAAAAATATAATAAAGCCAAATATAATACACAATAATTTTGTAAAATGATCTGTTGCTTGTCCTTACATTCACATACTACCTAATTGTAATAATATTTTAGTTCTTAATGTAGTATAAAAAATAATAACAGTAAAAGCAAGAATATATGGTGACAGAGTGTGTAACTGATAAAATTACTACAATTTTTGTTTTTAAAACCTCATCACACACCTAACCTCATCGAGTTGCAATAAAACCCACAAAAGCTTGCACTGACACCCGTAAATAGCCCAAACAAATCACACCGATTGCATTTTGAAGTTAATAAAACATCAAGTATCATCCCTCTTTAAACATCTTCCACACGTTGGCCATATATTAACACTTCTGACAAACGATGGAGTCTGTCATTGGGCAAAACATTAACGCTCCTCCGAGCGCTCACCTTCCGTCCGGCTCGTATTTAACGTGCGCCCGCGTCTCATAGCACCTGGCCGTCAAGTATAACCTGGAGCAGCCGTGTTTTTTTATCTGAAAGGGCAACAATGACGGTCAAAGTTCCTGGAATTATGTAAGCTCTTAAAATCGAGCCATCTTTGTCACATGCACGAAGCCGCGAGGAGAGACGTCGCCCGCAACTGAATGTTTTCACTGGGGATTCTCGAGCACGACGTCGTCGTTGCGACGTACGGTATCCTGGCTTTCTTCATTGTACTCGCGTCGATGTGCGACGGCCGACGCAGCAGAAGGAACCGTCCGAACAGACGTCGCCGCGATAAATCGAGAACAATGTGACACAGTGCGACCATCTCGTCTCGTGAGCGACGTTCTTCCTCGGCGACTTTGCTTAATAATTTCCCGGAGGCATAGCGTGAACGATTGAACACAACTCGCAACTTCTTTCGCACGCTCTACGTACCCGATTCAGACCATTGCACGGAAATTTTAATCCAATTCGGAACATCTTTCGAGCGGCCGGTTAGACTGCCAGCGGGAAAAAGGGAACGACGGCCCAAACAGCTGGTCACCGACCGAGCGGAACTGCGCGAAAAGAAGGATGTTACGTGTGGTGAGCGCTGCGCTGCGAGGTGGGTTTATGTGTGTCCCGAGGTCGACTCCGTGATCGGTTAACGCATCTCGAGGAACTATCACGACGCGATTTCGCGACGAACCATAATTCGTCGCGATTCTGTAGTTCTTACGGGTGAAAGAGATGAGAATTGTGGGTTTTGGAGGTTATGTTCGCTGTAACAACATCGTCATGATATTTGACATAGGGAACGGTCCGGAATTCGGATGCGAGCGCGCTTTTCAATATGATTTTCTGCTTGAAGTTTGCAAACTAGCGGCAGCATCGAGAATCGTTTTGATTTCAATCTGTTTTTGTATTCCTATTTTATAGATAAGCCTGGATTCATGCAGGATTAAACGGTGTTTAAAAAGAAACTTGAATATTAAGAAACGACAATCATAGAACAAAAATGTTTGTCCTGTAATTAAGTGTGCTGATATTATTTTAGGTGCAGCAAGAGCAGCAAATACAAATATGACAAATTCTATTGCAAATTTCACGTATAATTCCATTACAAATTACACACAATATAGAGGATTTGGAGCATTGTCAACTATCATTCAGAAGTGGGCCACTGTTGGGCCTGTGCAACACAAAACATTGTTGAAGTAATATAAAATATTGCTGATAATTTTAATGATGGAACATGTAGTGTGAGTAATATGTGAATAACTTATAATAATATGTTTCAGTCATGTGACAAAAAATTGTCCTCCTATGCCAGTACAACCCGTTAACATACCAGTGAGAACAGTGATCAAGTTTTCTTTGACAAAAGGAAAGAGAAAAACTGTAAAGGCAGTTATAAAACGTTTTTATAGGCTAAACTGGTAATATTTTAAGGATATACTAAATACAATATAGTAATTTTAAGAACTACTAAATCTAACAAATAATTTTAATTGGCGAGTTACGAATAATGAATCTTGGAAATTTAGTTAATTAAGTGGGGAATAAATTAAATAAAAATTTTATAGGGGTATATGGATTAGAACAAAGTCAGGCCGTCACAAGCACCTGTGGCGCAAATCAGCCGCTAGAAAGAAGAGATTGCGAGAGCATGTTTTCGTTAATGCTACCCAATCTTCGTTATTAGACAAAATGGTAACCAAATACTGGCGCAGGCCACGGTTCTACGTTGATGACCCCTATAATCCGTATCATAACCGAGAAGAATTTTTCATCACCAGAAAGAAGCCATTACCTTAATCTATTTTATGTATTAATTATTAGAAGTAACTTTATTTTATGTTTCAGTTGAAAAACCATTAAAGCTCAAGTTACCTACATAAATTGTGTATTCTTATTTAATCAAGCTTTATATTACATCAAATCTACAATGTTTCAATAATAACAAATATGTTATGAAACATCTCTCAATTTGCAAAGATATGGTATGTTAATCTGCGATTTAAATCTGTGTATTTGAATCTGTGACTTAACACTTATTGACTGCTGAGGCAGCAGTTTGAAATATGTGAATATTTTTCTACAAATTTAAGTGCAAATATTGTACGTGCAAATTTAGGCGCGGACTCGACCAACATTGATAGATCTATTTTGTAACTTTTAATAGCAGTTAAAAGAACAGTTAGAATGGCTATCGTCATGTTATCATTACGCAGGTAGGAAAAATACGAAACAACTCACGATAATGAATATCTATGAGATTAAACCAGTGAGATTAAACGCAACGATCCAAGCATTTCTTTTCAACATTTTTCATGAACAAATAATCATGTCGACCTGCATGTCGAAACCTACATGTCGAAACTGCAAGAAGTCATCCTATAATTCATGAGATATAATGTTCGCTTTTATTTGTCTGCGACTTGAAATCGCCCAACATTTTGAAAGGGAAATCACTTTCTAATAACGGGTCACATGTGACCCCCTCCCCCCAGCAATCGCACGCGGCGCTCGAGAGAGGCGCCAATATCTTTAGTCGTGCTTCGTCCTTCGTGAGGTGTGCTCGCGAGGTTGTTACGATACCCCAGCGATCTATTTGTATTTCTTTTTGCTCGACTTATCAACACGCATCCCACTCCATCGGCGCCAAGATGCCTTATCGCGGAAAATTACGTCTGCTCGGGAGAGCTTGTCTGGCGTTCAGAAACTCGTACGGCAAAAGCGAGCGCAGTACTCATCTCACCAGCAATATTGTCGGCAGAAATTTCTCCGTGAGCAGTACGCTCGATATGAGGTAAGCACAACCGGCCTCAGGACCGTAGTAAGAAATGGACGCCGTTGCTCGTGCGATTTGTATCTCGGTCGTTGAATTCTGTCGACGTGCTCTCGACGACGGAGCGAAATTATAAATCTGTTGTAAACGTTACAACATGCGGTCTGGTTCCGCGGTATTTCAACTTTTATCAAATATGGTCGCTCCATATACGGTTCGATTCCGCTATTTCGATGGTTCAATAGTTTGCTTATCCTCTCAGTGGTGCGATTCTTTAACTCGTTATTGGAGTTAACGACAGTTTCGTTATCGTTGCGCAGCTTTTCTACGGTATACAAAAGCTGCGCAACGATAACGAAAGTGTCGTTAACTCCAATAACGAGTGAAAGAATCGCGCTGTAGGTGCGTTCTTCAGGCATATTAGCGCTATTTGCAGGCTGTTTACCGAGCTAGACGTTAACGAATGCTATCATATTAATAATATTAGCGTTGTGCGCTGTAATTACGCGCTATCAACGCTGTTCCTTCGAAGATAGTAGCATTGGTAGCGTAAAGGCCACTTTTACCAAGTTGTAGTTAAATAACCTCTTAGTAACCTTGCAGGATTTCAACCGAAACCACTGTAAATAGAAATAGAAAATGAAGGATAAAGCAGCAATTTCGAGGGTCCTGCAAGGTTAATAAAACGGTTAATTTTAACTGCAGCTTGGTAAAAGTGACCTTCAGCGTTTGTAAGCTCCGTGAACGCTCCAGAACGTGAACTGCATATCACTGTACGTCATTGCATGTCAATGGTATCTACGTAACATCGTATTTACCATTTTACTATTTATGTAATGGCCAGTGTTCCGCGAAAGTAAAGTTTCAGGCTGTTGAAACTAAAGAGAAATTTAAATTGCAACTCTCAACTGGTGCTTTTAGGGCCGGTTGTTCCAACTTCTTGGTAAGTTAACTGATAGTTAAATCATATGTGTAAACGCGGGCGTATAAAACTGAAGGCGGGTTTTCGATGAACGGCGAGTAAAGGAAAGGGGAAGGAAAGAATTATAAAGATCGCAGATCGGGAAACGAAAAACAAAGGGCTCTAAGATTAGATGTATAATTATTACAAAGCGTAAGCGTGGTTTTTCCAAACGTTCGAAAGCTTCCTTCTTCGCCCCAAGATTACAACGATTATATCTTATTATTCCGCAACTCTCCATTGGTCCACGTCTCCTTTAGCTTAGGACACGCTCGTCATCACAAAACTAAACAACAGCGCGAGACCGTTGTCTCGCAACGCTCTTTTTGCAGGCGAGAGTCACGCCGAAATGTGTTTCGCTTTCGCTGACCCGTCTCCGCACGCATTTACCGTTTGTTTTTGTGTTATCGCCATTGTCTGCTTACATATGTTTGTCTTCGTTTTTCCTTCAACTTAGACAAAAACAGAGATATGATTTAACTATTAGTTAACTTACCACGAAGTTGGAGCAATTGATCCTTAGAGCGCAAGTAAGTTCTAGGTTATCAAATGAGGAATTTTGCAATAACGTTTCTCAGATTACGATAAAGTAATAAAAAGTCGTATTGGGTAACGCTAATATTATTAGATCTAAAAACTAAACTGCGCATGCATATCGTCCAACGCTGAGTAGATAACAGGCTAACTAAATAACGTTATTTGTAAATTTATAAAAAGTTTCCTGAAAATTATTCTTTCAGAAAGAAGATAACGTTGCTCGTTATCTTAGCGTTACGATGAATGATACGTATGCACAATTTCGTTTTTCGACTCAATAGGGAATTTTTGCAATACTGTTTCTCAGATACGGTAAACGTAAATCGTGAACGTTATTCGCTCAGAAACAATGTCGCAATGTACGCAATCAATAGCATTTACGATTTACATTTACCATATCTGAGAGACGGTATTGCAAAAACTTCCCAATAACGTTAACATTATCCAGGGACCTTAGCGTTCGCCGTATCTGGAAAACATTAATGTAAAAACAAGGATATAACGGCGTGACGCGGTAATTCTAACGTTACGCTATTGCTCGTATTCGTGAAATTCACTACCACAATTACGTTATTAAATCTGTTCCGAAACGAGTCGGAAATTTTGGTTTTAAGATTGGTAGGCTTTGAACTATTAACTTAGGTACGTTCCGTAGTCGATCAGCCGATCAATTATCAAGATAATAAGTATAAACGAAACTATATTTGTAAACAGAAATAATACATGACTGTGAACGTCCAAACGTGATCAGCTAAATGGAATTACGGGGCATATCAAAGTTGGTTTAAGGTCTACCAACCTTATAACCAAAATTTCCGAAACAGTTTTGGAAACAGGTCTAATGGCTCCACGAAGAACAGTTTTGGTAGCGTTTGCGTTGGTAACGCTAATAGTGTCTTTCCAAACGCGTATGGCAGTTTTATTCTTGCGTCAAGTATGACTACGATGAGTACGGTAAGTACGAAATATTCGAAGCACGAGTAAATTACTAATCGCCGGAGAAACTAATATCGTATGTATCTCGTATGTAGCGGTGATTAGCGATGGCGACGTAGATTTGTCTTGTCACTTGGCTCGCAAAATCGCGCTGTAAACAAATAAGGATACATGCGATCTTCGCTGTAAGGTGCTTAAGATTGCGAAATACGAAAATGTCGCTATGATTTATCGAATGCTATATACTCACAGCTGCTAATTTTCTGATACTAATATTCCTAATATTTGGAACGAAAGATCATTTGACTGTTTGATCGTCTCGTTTGATCGGGCTGATTTAACATCATCGTCGATTAAATATTGAGCAAAGCTAGGAATTATGGCATACATGTGCAGAATATCCCAGATAGCACAAGATGTCCTATGGACGTCCATTTTATGTCCATTTTACGTCCGCACGTCCATGAACGTGAAATGGACGTCCATCGTATATCTGATTTTGGACTCATTAAAACGTCCATATTAGAACATCCATAAGATGTCCAATGTTGGACGTCAATGGTCACTATCCAAAAATTTTTATAGTGAATTTGATTGCTTGCACTAATTAAATTAAAACTAATGTGCACTAAGTGTGCTTTAAGGTTTGTTTAGATTTCATTTGTATATATACAGTATGTATATATATAAACAGTATGTATATATATAAACAGTATGTATACAGGGTGCAAAATTTCAAATGTAACAGGTAAAAAATCTCGAAAACTATAAAAGATATTAAAAAAAGCTAAAACATGTGTTCCATAATTTCGAAGGGAAAAGAGAATGGCATTATCAGTTTTTTATTTGGAGGGCATTTTCAAGGTCAGTTGAAGGTTAATTTAATTTTTTAAAATAGAAAGCCCAATTTTTTATTATATTTTCTTTTTCTACCAATTAATTTTAACAACTTGTGTCTGAAACATTTTTTATTTGCCTAATATGTATAAAAAATGTATAAAAAAAATTTGATAACTTTTTAAACATTTAACTTACGATATCTCGCCAACTATTCGTCGAAAGAAAAAATAGTATTAGATTTTTTTACTTTATTTACTATCAAGAATATATTACTATAATAGTGCCCTAACTTTTGTTAATTTAATAATTTTGAAATTAAATTTTATATATTGATATAAAAATAAATAATATCTTTTGCATTTCAGAATTTTATTGTTGTTAATAAACCTTTCTTTTACGTATTTTTGAATGTTTATTTTGCTAATAATTACGAATACTGGAGAATTGAGAATGATGTCCATTTTAGATCCTTGGTTTGGATATTCTATGGACGTCTAGAATTGAAAAACGGACATCCTGGATGTCTTATGAACATCCGTCGGATTTTTTTTGGACGTCTTATGGACATCCCGAAGTCCAAATTCGAACGTCCACTGGACGTCCATTGGACGTTCGTATGTTATATGGGATATTAATGATTGATGAGGTCATGAAACTTCTACGTCTTCTGTATCTTTTTTAACGAAGACTATTCCACATATTTCAAAATGTTATTATTCTTATCAAATAAGTAAATATTTAGCATTCTAACATCCGTTTGCAATTTTAATAATATTGCGAGAAATGTTCAATTATTGCTTGTAATTTACAATATATAATATTGGTTATATATTAGTTATATATTTTGTTTATTAAGTTATTTTTTAATTGTGTAGAGTGAAAATTATTAAATTCAGTCAAGATATTTAGTCGCTGTTACATAACGTCAGAATAAAATTATGTAAAAAATATGTTACAGTAGTTACAGCTTTGTAATTTTAATATCTGTTTGTACATAATTGTGTTTCCTCAACACTTCCAGTTGGTGCTATATAATTAAAAAATGGAAACACTCAAATATTTTGTTATAATATGATATTAAATAGCATATTAGTGATATTTTATCGAGGCTAAAGACATCATCAATGCGTTGGTAATGTCATCTTGCTATTTCGATATCATCAGAATACGTTAATTTTATTGTAATTATTATAAAAATGTTATAGTATAAATAATTTAAAAATAATAATATAACATGTAACGTTCATATGTTATAAGAACATATGTTTCACATGTATAACAATATATCATCGCTTGCATTTTTTTTTAATTCTGAGATTTTGATAAAGCGAGCTTCCGTGATAAACACGAATGTATAAAAAAGAAAACAAGCTATATGTAGAAAATTAGGCCACACGCGATGTAGAAACTCGGTTATTATGTATATCGCTCGATAACAAGGCACTGATTTCTTTGCAGGTTCGTTCAATTCACATTCAAAAATGGGGGTCCGCAGCACCTCGGTGTTCAGCTAAAGCAGGGTGGCGACATCATCGCCGTGTCAGCGGTCGACTCGCGAATCCCGAACACGCTGAAGAAATTCCTAGAGGGCGGTGACGATCTACTCAAAACGGCCAAGAGGTAGGTGGTGACGAGAGAAAAAGCGACCATAATAGCCAGCTCAGCTTTGCTTTTTTCGCTGTTTTGATCCGTCAGTCGGTTAATTATACAAAAATACGCGTGGAAGATAGTAACGCGATGATCGCTGAGAGAGGAAATATTTAAGTTGTAATTCCGCTGAAACTAGCAGCGGCTATCGCTTTTTTATGATCACTTTAATTATGACTTACATGACAGTCTTATTATAAGTTATTATGACAGTCTTTCCCCATGACACATGTCTAGGGTTATAAAGCACCATCTTGTTAACAATATGATATTAAGAGCATCGGGGAGAGAAATGGGGGGAAATTACATTGCACTTAAATTTCGTAATCGCGTTTAAGTACAATTTTCTTCAGATTTTATGACCTGAACTTTAAAGAAGGTGAAACATGTCGTATTTCATATGTCGTTGATTTTTATTTTATTTTGCAACTGACTTGCTTTGACTTTGCGAAAGCTTTTTCTCAGAGTGATAATCTTGAAATATACGTAATGTAGTGTAATAATGTGATGTTTTAAGAAGATGGTATAGTAAAGAAAAAAAAGATTGCCCGATCTGATGATTACGAACATTTGTTTCACCAGGAAAGACGATATCGATCTAAGGAGGGCTGTAGAGAGGTTGGTGTTTTCGGTACTCGATTCGTGTGAGAAAGTAGTTTCTTTTCTCCCTTTTGTCTTCCCTTTCAATCGTTCGTATATACTCGCTCACACCTGCACATGCGTGTGTGTGTGATGTGCAACCTTTTTTAGCGTTAGCATTGAACTACACACCTTCGATAAATACGAAACGGATTCACTTATCTCGGCTATAAATTATCGGCAGTCTTATCAGTATCATACAATTCGAAAATAATAATTCGTTATGAAAGTCCCAGTTTTGTTAAGTATTTAAATGAATATCAACTGTTTCTTTTTTTCTGCACAATCGAGTTGTGAGGTTTTAAAAATATATCTGTCTGAGATGCTCGAATGTTCACGATCCCAATGCATCGAGTAATCGCATCCTTAGTGAATAATTTATATTAATTTTTCCTGCTCGGTATTTTATATCGGCAGTAAAGACTTTTTTATGCGAGAACGATTATCATTGTCGGTTTTTCTTTCCTAAAATGTAATTAATAAATTATGACAGTGGTTTACGTAATGGTGATATTTTAATCACCGATAAGATAACCTCCATCGCGTTATCAATTATTTCGAATACTGTTTTCACGATTATATTGCAATTAATTAATAGAAAAATATCACACGCAGACATTCATCGAGCGAAAATATCAGCTTTAAACGTATCCAAGGACATTAGTGACGATTTATATACTTTTTCTCAGACATCTGAATAATAATTGGAAAACCTGACGTATACAATAAACGTGTAGACATGTATATGTATATATATGTTCGTAAATTAGTTTCATCCGTAGAAAATTGCCGCGTGTCACATTCACGCTACATTTTATAAATCATCGTCGCATGTTTCCTGTCACTCTCAACTCTTATCGTTCTCGTTTAAATCTTGCGAACGCTATTTTAATCGCCTCACCGGCTTTTATCTCATACATTTTTCACGCTTGTGCCTGCTACATTCCATTGCATCTTCTCGCGTCTCGCGCGAGATTCGACAATCGGGCCCTATCATTGCAACTAATTCGATCAGACGCAGTTGTTGATACTAACTCAAGCCGGCGCCTTGTCCTGCTGCCAATTGGCGAACTTTCAAGCTGCTTTAGTTCGGTTGAAAATTTAAGTGCGTGCTCCGTTGAATGGGATTCATATGCATTTGTTAAGCTGTACATGAGAAATGTCTTTTTTTACTATCTCTTGTTTAAAGAATTAAAGATTTATCGAATGTGGTTTGATGGTTTATCGATCGATAACACACTATGCGATCGACAAACGTATCTGGGACATGTGGCGAAAATGTTAATTGATTTACGTTAATGCAACATTCATTTGTGTGGTATTGCTTTTGTTCATTGTAATATATTACAATGTCTGAAACGCGCGATGACTTCACAGGATGTATTTATATAAAAATTTTTTTACATAAAAATTATTTTGTTTAGATGAGCATGTGAAGTCTGTTTCGTAAATGTTTCATGTTGTTTCTATGTTTTCTTATATCTTGTATGTATGTTACATAATGACTTAATAAATCATGCAAAAACTACCGTTTTCAATTTCTTAAAATTATAAAAATTTCGATATTTTAAGATTGATATGTTATAAGAAATTGTGCAAATCTTGGTTGACACAACGAATTATTAACAAATTAACACTTTTTATGGATACAGATAAAAGATTTTATGGATACGACGCAATTTGAAAGTCATAAGATGAATTGAAGAACAGATAGAGGAAAAAGAGAGACGCATGGAAGGAAAAAAAATTATATAACCGTCGTCGAGCCACACAGAATCAGGAATTACAATTCACAAAGTTGTAATAAATATTGTCCATAAAAATGTCAGTGTATACCCAATTATTAAAACATTAATATTTTGCGATTAGAAAAAAAGAGTCGCAGAGAAGATTTGATTATTTCATAACACGATCATAACACGCGCTGAGATAATTTGAGGATTCGAATTAAGTGGAGAAGAAATCTTTTATATACGTACATATTTGTCATCATTATGTCACAATATGTGAGCCTCACTCACGATATATCTATTATATAATTCGACGCCCGTGAAGGGGGCGTCAGGGGAAAGGAAACACGTCATAGAAAACTACACGTTGTGATCAAAAACCATGAACAGCGATGTGACTAATACGCGATACAGGTTTACCTGTATCGATTGGCGATACGGAATTATCGGCGAGAGAGATTAACCGCGAGAGATTAGAATGCGGAAAGTAATTAACTCGCTCCATTATGCACGTACCATTTCAAGATAACTTTTTTCTGTTGGAACTCGTTCACTGCACGTAAAACTGCATGCCACCTAACAGACACGAGCAACATTAACTTACCATACTTACGTAACACAACATACAAACCACTTATGCAAGTATAATAATAACTTCGATCCTCCTCCCTCTCTTATCCTCGACCATACAACTGTGTCTGCGCCCCTTCTTGTCTGCTTCAACACCGCAAAGCTTCATGAGGGAGATTCGCACACTTCCCTCGCGGTGAATAAAGAAAAAAAAAGAAGAAGAGGAAGATATCTAACCAGGCCTTGCGTGTGCGAATGCGTTCACTAACTCCGATTACGTAATCAACGAGGCTTATTTCGCAGGATACTGAAGTCTAACACGATGGTTACAGAATAATCGCTGAAGGACGGAGCATCATACCCGAGGCCGACGTGAATTTTCTCGCACCAGTCACGCGCATGGACAAACTTGCCTGCATCGGTCTCAATTATAGCGGTCATTGTGAGGAGCAAGGGATGTCGATTCCCGAAACTCCGGTGGTCTTTAGTAAATTCCCCAGCAACATCATTGGACCGTGCGATAACATTCTGTTACCGCAGATCTCTGACGTAAGTCGAGATTACGACAGAACATCATCATAAGTCGCTTATCGGCAGACACGGAGATCTTGAAAATAGTTTGCGCGATTACGTCACGACCACTAGTTTCATTCTGTTCCGATCGAGCATAATAAATACACACTACTATACTATTCGTTCACGAGCCGTTTTTTCTACGTCTGCCGCTCGAATACCAATTAACGGTGTAAATTTTATTCGTGTGCTCGTCGTATTTCCATTAATCACCGTTACCTCGTTGATGTAGCTTCTCAGTGGACGTGAGGTAGGAGATGATAACGACGTCATATTAGGCATTGAAAAAATTGTGCACTTGACTGATGAGTTTTGGAATTACAGAAAATCGACTGGGAGGCCGAGCTGGCGATAGTAATCGGCAAAAAGTGCAAAAGCCTTAATAATGACCAGGTCGAGGACTGTATATTTGGATACACGGTAGCGCAAGACGTGACGGCACGGGATTGGCAGAAGTCTAAGCGTAACGGTGGGCAATTCCTTCTCGGCAAAGCGATGGATACGTTTTGTCCCTTAGGTCCGGCAGTTGTCACTAAGGAATCAATCTGTGACATCAACAATTTATCTGTGAAAACATGGGTGAACGGCAATCTGAAGCAGAACGGCAACACTAGCGAACTCATCTTTAAACCCCATGACATAGTCGTTTATCTTTCGCAGTTCGTATATTTGACAAACTGACAGATCGAGAAATACAACGGGCTATTAATCGATTGAACATTTTCAGATTTATGACGTTGCTGCCAGGTGATGTGATTCTTACCGGCACTCCTGCTGGTATAGGATACGCACGCAACCCACCAGAATATCTGCAGGTATGTCTTTGTTAGCATTATAGTTATGCATATAGTAGTAATATATTTGTGTAAAATAAGATTTATTGTTAAGCTTAATATATAATTTGTGTTTGAAAAAATAATATGATACATTGGATCAATCAAAAAGTTTGGTTTAATTTCCGATAAATGATGTCACATGTAACAGTGTTGATTTATCTGTATATCATGTACTGTTATAGAAACGATAACTTCGATTATTTGATGAACAATTAATTAATTTCGATTGAATTCCATACATTAAATTTGATTCACAAACTTAAAATTGTCAGATAAAAACTAAACTTTCTGATTAATCTAACATTGAATAATATACTCATTACATTTTTGATTGCATATCTTATTAGCGCGGAGATGTACTGGAAACCGAGATTGAAAGTTTAGGACGCCTCAGAAACAAAGTAATCTAATGTAAGAAACGGAACATGCAATTTCTTACATTGTGTTGAAAAAACGGCTTTTTCACAAAAAGATTTTCATAAGACTGGAACTACGTTCCTCCTGCAATGGATATTTGTAATAACGTTGAATCATTTTAAGGACCATATCAGAACCTAATGTAGACGATATGTTGACAGAAATAATCGAAAATAGGAATACTTTCAAATATTCAGATATTTAATTATCCGAAATCAGCTCCAATGAAAACTCAAAACCTCACTATTTGGATAAATTGAATATTCAAAGTTATTATTAATACAATAAATTTTTATTATTAATCGCTAAAATATTATTAGTCGCTAAAAATTTTTAATGAAATTGACTGTCCACTTTTTTTAGAAATCTGTAATGCAAATGTGCATTTTGCTTGAGTCCACTGCAAACTTGGATTCGGATTTGAATTTATTATTTTCGATTACTTTTGGAATATCTGAATCCTCAGATAATAAAAATTTTAAAGGTAACATTTAACGACTATCTGAATAATCGGATATTAGTTAATGATGTTACATCTAGATGAATCTTAAAGCTCTAATTTAAATTGTTGGGATGATATCGATGATAACAACGAGATTACATAAATATTTATGCCGGAAACGGCGTCGCCCTTCTTCACCCAGAGCATAAACACTCCTACAGATAGCACAGCAACGCTAATTTTTTATGTGTTATGTATTTTATGTACTTCAATAATTAAAATGAAACTGTTTTTATGACAGATGTTTTATCCCCTTTCTAACTTCCTGTACAATTTTAACGATGGAACAGACATCTTGCGCTACTTGAGTTACAAATCAACAACTGTGATTAATTATCAAGTACTTAGCTTTTTTCAATATCTTTATATGATAGATTAGAGCACTGAACGGAAAAACGAGATAAAATATACAATATAGATATAACAAATAGAGATATAACAACATATATACATATATACATTCACGCTAGGGAAAAAATTCATGATCGCTGCCCTGAGCAGCTGCAACGCTTCTCCAATCATCTATTTCGGCGCGCTGCCACTCCTCATATTTCTGTCATTAATAACTCGATAATTATTGCGAATCTCGCAAAACGGTACGGGACTTTTATGTTTGTCTCAATCCAATCCACCTTCATACTTCATACCATCTACCTCATACGGTTTGGCAGCTAATTATCGGACATTTTGTATGATCTTTATAATATTAATCATATACAATCTCAATTCTTATTTTTTTGCGCATGTTAACATGTTAATTCACATTACAATCGCATAACAATGTACGAGATCGTGCTTGTCAAGTACGCTATTATAGTTATAGCACAGATATAAACCGCTTGAAAGTGGATGTAGCACGGACTGCCACCACATGCAGGTTTTACCGCCGAGACCTGAAGGATGTGGATGTAGCATCGTAGTTTCCCTTTCAAAATGGATGCAGATGGCATCCTTTTCCAGTGCGGAGAGTCGGTGTCGCCGAAAACGGCGTGTTGGCCGCTCTCAGGTTTCTCTCTGGTATTGCAAAATCTCCCCACTACCTAAAAGCAGCTGTAGCAGCGATTTTTCTGTAACGCTATTTTGCAGCGCCTTTAGGTCCATTTTATGGAAAGAACTATGTATCCAATGTCCATTATTTTTTTCAGTAGGTAATGTCTACAATTTTAGGGTTTTATTCCGTGCTATAACCATTAGTGGGTTAATTTAGTTAAATAAAGGCAAAGACGGACGGAATCAATCTCTGTCCATCTGATGGAAATCTCCAATTAATAGATTTAGAAATATTTATTCATAAATATTATATATTAAATATTGGCAGTAATAAAAATTAAGTACTAACTTACCTCGATATGGTGGTGCCACAGTCCTACATTGATGTATCATCTGACACTGAAGTAGTACTCTTTTCCGGAGAAACAGTTTCTCTTGTAACGCAATTTCGTCGTCATAATTAAATATACATATCAAAGATGTCGGCATAGTCCGCGATTTCAAATTCGAGATTTTCTTCAGCTAGAGAGATGAAGAGAAACCTCTATTTCCTATTGCGAAGCACATATGATATTCTTGACGCTTGATATTATCCACACAACACACGTTATCCCAAGGATATCCTATAATAATATCCTGAGGATATACAAATGTCTGCTGTTTTAGATCCTATAAATATCCTAAGGATTTCTCTATTAATAACAATTTTTAGAAACTAAAAGTTTCTAAAAAGGAATTAAAAGTTATTAAAAGGGATATCCGTAGAATATGTGTAGGATCTGTAGGATAAAAGCAGATATTTGTATGTCCCCAAGATATTGCAATACCCCTTATCGGCCCATCGGACATCCCTGAGATAAAGTATGCTGTATGGGTAATATTAAATTTGTCTTTTTATCTTAACTAGTGCTTCAACTAGAACTTTGTTCCTTTCTTCTGCAACACTAGTTTATGAGCTTGTTTTATTCCAACGGCAAATAGTACAACATAATTCAGCTGGAAAGAACAGACTTCCTAACCTTACCTAAAAAAAAAAAACGACAATCTTCCATTATATAATTTTACGTTCTTTCAATTTTCCACTCAAACGGGGAAAACAATTCCGCATCTCTTTGTCTTCCAAATTGTATCTTCCTCGGAGGGAAGGGGGAGAGAGAGAGAGAGAGAGAGAGAGAGAGAGAGAGAGAGAGAGAGAAAGAAAGAGAAGTTTTGAGGCTGACTAGTGTCTCGACAATTCCAAGTTTATTCGCTACGATGAAGTAGCGTGATACACCGACATAAAGGGACTCGTGTTAGGGCAAGGGGCGTCCACTTACGGGGTTCATCAGAGCGCGGTTGGTAGTGTGCCGGGCACGCTGCATCCTCTGTATGGACGGACCCCCGTTGTCATCAACAATACGCCGTTCAATGGCACCTAATTCGCAACAATGGCCCTAGCAACCATATATTAATGGTGCATGCCCGTATGTACTCCGACGGCGAGCATTATATCGCCCTCGAGAGGATCGCCTCGCTTGGTATTAGAGGCGGCAGCCGCGGATCCGCACACCCCGATGCCACAGAGCGGTCTCTCCGCGTGGAGTCGACGGGCGCGCACGCTTTCACACGTGCGGACAACTTTGTCCGTGTGAAAGCGAGCGAGCGCGAGCGCGCGTGTGTCGTCCGGGAAGCGCGCAACGTCCCGGACGCGCGCTCGCCGCCCTCTCTCCCTCTCTCCCCTGCTGCAGATGCGACTCAATTTCGTGGATGACAAATCGCGCCCGTAACGCTGTCAGGCGACGATTAAAGGGCGCGGCCTCCGGAATTTAATGGCGCGTCCCGATTTCGATTAGGGTGAGAATAGACCGGTTTATGAATAATAATAACGCGCTCTCTCTCTCTCTCTCTCTCTCTCTCTCTCTCTCTCTCTCTCTCTCTCTCTCTCTCTCTCTCTCTCTCTCTCTCTCTCTCTCTCTCTCTCTCTCTCTTTCTCTTTCTTTCTCTCTCTTTCTCTCTCTCTCTCTCTCTTTCTCTCTCTCTGCTCTCCGGAAGAGGCGAAGATGGCCGCGACCGTGACGGAATTTTATTAGCTGCTCCTCCCTCCTCCATCCACAGCTTATCATACCGTGGTTAATTTGTAAGTTTTAATATGACGTCAAATTGCAATGGTCACGTTCGGTGTTTAATATTTTTTTGATAAAAGAAAATCACTAAAGAGAAATTCTTGTGAGGACGACGCGACGTACATGTCTGTTTGCGCGCACAGAAAAATACGTACCACATTCAAATAAATGTTACTTGTTTTAAGTATCTTGTTTATACAGGGTTCAAGTTTATACAGGATGTCCGAAAACTCAAGATACCACTCGTACGCAGATAGAACGGATCAAACTGAGCAAAAAATTCCTCTGTTATTTTGCTAACAAAACCACGTGAAAGTTTCGGGATATTTATTTTTACTTATTTTTTTAGGCATTATTTTTAGCAACATGAGCTATTGAAAACAAAATTTGTTTTCTATTGTGTGTCTGTCTCTGTTCAAGTTCCAAAAGTGTACACTAGTAGTGGGGAAACAAACTTGTGGGCACGCGGTTCTGTTTTACGCGCCGCCCACTATTTGCTCCACACTTTGCTGAAAAATTTAAATTATTGAAAAATTAACTTGAATGATAGGTAGCACTCTAGAAAGATCATTATGTAGCAAAGAGTTAAACAAAGGCTCGCTTGAGATGTCTGAGTATTAACGATCTCTTGACGACAGCAGATAGTGGAAGTGTGTATTGTCTTACCGTTTAGCGTTACGAACCGTCTGTCGTTGCCAAGAAGTTATTAATAGATTCAGAGTTTCATCTTGAATGAAACTTTCACTAAGGACCTCGTCCCGTCGCATCGCATGCACTCATTCGCTCATTGTCTTTAATCAATATTTCAATAATTATCGTGGTTGTTTGCAGAATAAATTGACATTTCGTTCAGTTTAATGAGTTCTGCTTTTGCGCGAGCCGACGCACATGTTACGTCAGACACCCCGTATAATCGGCGATAAAAAGATCATACGAATTGTTTTCATGAGTTTCGAATAGACGAGAGACGTCGGAACGATCGCGCAATTTTCGCTCGTCCTGGAGTTCATTAAATTAGAAAGTGTCACAACCGGCTTCTCTTGCCGCCGATTGTACAGTTAATTGACTAATGTCACCGAAGCAATAACGGTAATTTTTGGACGATGGAGCATTTTTATGGCGACAAATGGACAAACTGAAAGGGTAATTACTCGATGATGAGCGAAATTTTGTTACGTCCTGCGGAATCGAGCGATAGAGAGAGAGAGAGAGAGAGAGAGAGAGAGAGAGAGAGAGAGAGAGAGAAAGAGAGAATCGGAGCGATCTCTCTTACGGATATTATAGAACTTAACGGAAAATTGCTCATTGCTTCTCATGTAGCCGAGGTTTCTGTAATTAAGGAGTGGCGATTAAATGCGTCTAATGCTAGGTTGCAGGGCGGATCTCGCTATTTCTTCCACGCGCCGCTCCCCTCGGCCATGCTAATCGATACGTCGTTACGATATATTAAAATACATTTTTCACTTATGCCGATAGATCGCTTAAGCGCCGGTAAATCTAACGAGCAAGCGAGCGGCCGCGTTTAGTAATTACCGGTCTAATTATTAGCGCTCTAACTTATGGTGGCTCGTGGGGCTATGATTACTAGGCCACGATAACGAGTTTTCTGTGCAATTATGTAAATATTCCTATTTATTTATACACCATGAATAACACGCCAGTTCTGTTTGTGGTGGCGTAACCGCCGCGCTCGCGTCATCCCGTCGATTCGTCACGAAAATGGTTATTTGCTCTTTATATGCAATTTGCAAGAGAACTGGAATGTCTCTCTCTCTCTCTCTCTCTCTCTCTCTCTCTCTCTCTCGCGTGCTCGCACGCTAAGTCGTTCCTTTCTTTTTTCCTGTATTTAATTTTAATCTAAATTGGATAATTCCATCTCAGTGATGCTTAATTGCGCGGGTCTTCAAAATATTAGTATACTTTGTAGAATATCGCTCTCGCAATACGTACGTCTCGCAGGAACCGGTCGGGCGGCTGAAAAATCGCTCGC